TCCTCCACCTCCTCCACCTCCTTTCCCTCCCCCCCCCCTCTTCCTCTCCTTCATCCATTCATCCCGTCCGCCCCCCCTTCCTTCGACCGCCACTCGCCTCCTCCCTCATTGCTTCTCCTCAACCTCCTCCTCCTCCGTTCTCCTCCTCCTCCACTCCTCTTCCTCTTCCTCTGCCTCCTCTTACCTCTTCCTATCTCCTCCCTCCTCCCCGTCTCCTTCTCCTCCTACACTCGTCCGTCCTGCCTCCCGCCCCTGCTTCGCCTCCTTCCTCTCCTCCTCCTTCTCCTTATCCTCCTCCTCCTCCTCTTCCTCCACCCCTCTCTTCTTCTTCGTCCTCCTCCCCGAGGACGAGGGATTTTAAGGTACCTCGCTTTCAACGAGTAGTATCCTCTTCTCCTTCCCCTCCTCATCTGTATTCCCCTCCTCCTACTCCTCCTCTTCCTTCGCCTCCTCTTCCTCTTCCTCCTCCTTTACCCAGAATCAAGCTGTTTGCTTTTCCTGCGCCCCCCCGAAAAATACGAGGAAACAAGCAACGCGGAGCAACATCCCGTGTTTTTGTTGTTTTTTTTTGGACGGGATGTCCCATCTTCCTCCGCGTTGATCCGCTCTCCTCATGCCCCTCCCCCCCGCACTCCACCTCCTCCTCCTCCTCCTCCTCCTCCTCCTCCTCCTCCTCCTCCTCCTCCTCCCCCCCAGAATCGAGCTGTTTGCGTCTGCTGCGCCCTCCCCCCCCACCCCCCGAAAAAAGAAAGAAACCAAACGGGATGCCGCATCACGTTTTTGTTGCCCTTTTTTTTTTGGGGGGGGGGGGGAGGGTCAGGAGAAGCAACAAGCGTGATTCTGGGGGAAGGAGGAGGAGGAGGAGGAGGAGGAGGAGGAGGAGGAGGAGGAGGAAGAGGGAGGAAGGGGAGAGGGACGAGGGAGGGGCATGACGTTACCTCGCCGCACGGCCAATGAAAGATCAACGTTGTGCTGGCGCAAAGTACGCCATGATTGAATCCAGTACACAATGCAAACGGTGCCCTCATCACCTCCGCAGCTGCCAACCCTAAGCGCACGCCAGAACTAAACAATACACTTGTCATGGCACGCACCATGGCCCCCAGTAGTAACGAAAGTCAGCGCAACTGTCCAAGCGCCCCGTCGGCACATCTGGCGCACCGTAGCATTGGTCAGTCCTGCGCCCACGCGCACACGAAACCTAGCACCCAACAACATGCCGAATAGTCACTCTGCCATGACACAGCGCATGACCCCAGTCGCAACGAACTCCAGCGAACACACACAAGCTTTGCATTGCGTTGGCATTGCGCTGGCACTTCGCACGCATTGCGTTGGCGAATCCTGATGGCACCCTCCACATACGGACTCCCATTGACCCCCCCTACAATACGGACTCACATTGAACCCTTCCACAAAAAGGGTTCATATTGAAATCCTCCGCGGAAGGGTTCCATGCGAAGCCCTCCACTGAAGGATTCCCATTGTAATGTGCCACAGCGGAATTCCCCAATTGGCATTGTGTTGGGATCGCCTTGGCATTGCCCTGACATTGCGTTGGTACTGCTGTGGCATTGCTCTGGCATTGCGCTGGTAAGTCCTAATTACCCCCTTCGCAGAAGGATTTCTATTGACACCCTCCACAACAAGGGTTCCACTTGAAATCTACCACAACGGATTGCCCCCATTGACATTGCATTGGCATTGTATTGGGATCGCCATTGTGTTGGTATTGCATTAGCATTGCGCTGACGAGTCCTGATCGGACGCTCCACAGGGAATTTCTTATCAACCCACCCCAGCGGGAAGGATGCATAGTGACCTCTCCCCCCACACACACAATAAGGATTCACATTGAAATCCTCTAAAGAAGGATTGCATCCGAAGCCCTTCACATAAGGATTCCTATTGAAATCCTCCGAACATGTTTTCGCAATGGCATCATCCCAGAAGGGTTCTCACTGACATACAGCAGGAGAGGATGCCCCCAAGTGGCATTGGTTTAACCCTGTGTTGTCATTGCGTTGGAAGTGCGCTGGCATTGCGCTGGCATTGCGCTGGCGAGTCCGAGTGCCTCCCTTCGCAGACTGATCCCTATTGCAACCCCCAGAAGAAGGATTCTCATTGAAATCCACCACAAAGGATTGCCCCCAACGTTGCATTCTCATCGGATTCGGGTCGCCTTGGCATTGGTCTGGCATTGCGTTGGCATTGTTTGAGCATTGCGCTGGCATTGCGTTGGCAAGTCCTAGTGCCTCCCTTCGCAGAAGGGTCCCTATTGCAACCCTCCACAATAAACGGGTTCCTATTGACATCTACCACAAAGGATTGCCCCCATTGGCCTTGGATTGGGCTCGCCTTGGTATTGGTTTGGCATTGCGTTGACACTGCTTTAGCATTGCGCTGGCAAGTCCTAATGCCTCCCTGCGCAGAAGTGTTCCTATTGAAACCCGCCGCAAACAAATCCTTTGAAATCTACCACAAAGGATTGCCCCCAACGACGCTGCATTGGCATCGTATTTGGTATCGCATTGGCATTGCGCTGGCATTGCGCTGGCGAGTTCCAACGCCTCCCTTCGCAGAAGGATTCCGATCGTAACCCCCAGGAGGATTCCAATTGAAATCTACCACTGAGGATTGCCCCCATTGGCATAACATTGGCGTTGGATTGGGGTCGCCTTGGCATTTCGCCGACATTGCGTTGGCACTGCTTTAGCATTGCGCTGGCGAGTCCGAATGCCTCCCTTCGCAGAAGGATTCCTACTGCAAGCCTCCGCTAACAAAAGAGGATTCCTTTTGAAATCCACTACAAAGGACTTCCCCCAACGACATTGCATTGGCATCGGATTTGAGACCGCATTGGCATTGCGCTGGCATTGCGTTGGCACTGCTTTGGCATTGCTCTGGAATTCCAATGCCTCCCTTCGCAGAAGGATTCTTGTTGCAACCCCCAGAAGGATTGACATGAACATCTACCACAAAGGATTACCCACATTGGCATAGCATTGGCATTTGATTGGGGTCGCCTTGGCATTGGTTTGGCC